AATAAGATGGCATTCCCACAATGCACCACTGGGTCCCAGATTTTTTTTCTACCACGCACACTGACCACACAGACCCATTCTTTCACATCTAGGCCTACCAGCCTTTTCCCACGAGATTTGACGGCGCTAGAATTTATGCGTACTAGTACATCAAAAAACCCTCCGCGTAAGCCGTACTAGTACGTCCGAAACCCTCAAAGGGTTAAATGTCTTATTTCATGTTAATATAGACATTTTCATTAATCCATCTATGATATTTTCTTCAAAATTATATAAGAAACATGTTACATACCATATAAACATTTTATGTTTATATACTATGGAGGTGTGGTAGCTGGGCGGAGGGAAAACATTACGTCACTCCCCTTAATACATAACCCTTTTGTTTACAATTTATATTTTTTATTCTTTTTTATATATCAAAGTAGTGGAACAATTCCCACCAGGCAGGTATGGCCCGGTAATAATAGCTTCGCACATTACTATCATGTACTTGCCAGTAGGGTGTGCCAGGCATACACTACAGTTTATTATAACTGAAATTAACGATGTACCTTCCTAAGTATGGCCTTCACTTGCGCATCTCAAGGTGACATGAGTGGGCAGGTTTCCCTTAATTTATAATTCTCTGTACAACTCCAAGACACTGTCAAGTATTAAAAAAGCATTTCGTTTCCGTTCGTTTCAATACGTCGATGCTGTGGAAGTCCACCCTGCACCATAAACCTCTTTACATAAACCCCTCCCTACAAGACCTATTTTAGGTCATAAGATCCACTACCTGTATTCTTTCGCACTACAGCTGATAATATGTAGTATTACTGTTTGCCCTTGCTCTACTACTTCCCAAACCACCCCCAAAAAACTCCTCCTCACCCCTTAGACAAAATTTTTTTTTGGTAACACCAGCACCCACAAGGCATGAAAAAATCATTATTCTCCTTTTTTATTAGAATTAAAGGTAGTTCTGGTTGAACACAATTTACGCCCCACAGAACGCATGGTATACGAGGTAATAATTTTGTCCACTCTGGGCACATTAAAAACTTAAAATATGTAGTAATTAATGAGTGCCGCATACTATTTATCGTCTAGATTTTATTAAATGTAGTAATTATGTATGTGGGGACCTGTGTACCTAATAGCTGCTTCACTCAATTAAATCACTCTTCATTAATAAAAATAAGGTGTAATGAGTACTGGGATTGTTTTTTATGTTATTTTATTCTACTGTATCAACATAGAGACAACTTGTACGCAATGTAAATTGATGAAAACCAGATGCATTCGTTTGGTTTGTTTACATTACGTGTGAGTGGGGTGGGGTGGGGAGAGCTGCCCTTCCTGGCTACCCATACTTCCCAACCTGACTTCATACAAATAAAACTCGCCTCTCACCCTACATTAAGACTACAAATATTTTAAGGTAATTAATGAGTGTACTGTATATGTATTTTATCGCTCTGGGAAGCTTTAATTGAATATCGTAGTATATTACGTGTTTGCCCTGGCTGGCTACCATACTTCCCAAACCTGACTTCCTACAAATAAAACTCACCTCTCACCCTACATTAAGACTACAATTTTTTTTTTTTCTTCAACAAACCAGCTGTATCCCACCAAGGCAGGTGGCCTAAAAAGAAAAATGAAAGTTTCTCTTTTTTAAATTTAGTAATTTATACAGGAGAAGGGGTTACTAGGCCCTTGCCCCCAGCATTTTAGTCGCCTCTTACAACACGCATGGCTTACAGAGGAAGAATTCTGTTCCACTTCCCCATGGAGAATTAAGACTTCAAATATTTTAACGTAATTAATGAGTGTACTGTATATGTATTTTATCGCTCTGAGGAGCTTTAATTAAATGTAGTATATTATGTGTAGGTGGGGTGGGCTGACCTGGCTGCTACCATACATCCCAGACCTGACTTCCTACAAATTAAACTCACCTCTCACCCTGCATTAAGACTACAAATATTTTAAGGTAAGTAATGAGTGTACTGTGTCTGTATTTTATTTTTTATTGTTTTTGATGCCTAGTTCTATTGCTAACATAATATATGTTAATGTAAACTTGTTACCTGGTATTTATGTGCATTTATAAGTGGAAAAAATGGTGTTCTGCTTTCCTGCAATGTCTGCTTTCCGGCAGTAGCCTGGAACCTAACCTGCTGTATAAGTGGGGCCCTTCTGTACTTGTAACATCTGCCACATTGCTCCCCTATCCATTCTATCATATGCCTTTTCTAAATCCATAAATGCAATGAAAACTTCCCTACCTTTATCTTAATACTGTTCACGTATATGCTTCTTTTTCGGGCCACCCTGCCTTGGTGGAATCGGCCAGTGTGTTAATAATTAAAAAAAATATATGCTTCAATGTAAACACGTGATCTACACATCCCCTACCCACTCTAAAGCCTCCTTGCTCATCCAGAATCCTACATTCTGTCTTACCTCTAATTCTTTCAATAATAACCCTACCGTACACTTTTCCTGGTATGCTCAGTAAACTTATTCCCCATAATTTTTACAGTCTCTTTTGTCCCCCTTCCCTTTATATAAAGGAACTATGCGAGCTCTCTGCCAGTCCCTAGGTACCTTCCCCTCTTTCATACATTTATTAAACAAAAATACCAACCTCTCCAACACTGTATCCAACCCCTGCTTTTAACATTTCTGTCATGATCCAGTCAGTTCCAGCTGCTTTACCCCCTTTCATTCTACGTAATGCCTTATGCACCTCTTCCACACTCACATCGTGCTCTTCTTCAAACCTAAAAGATGTTATACCTCCCTGACCAGTGCATAAAATTACCGTCTCCCTTACTTCATCGACATTTAAGATTTCCCCAAAATATTCCCACCATCTACCCAATACCTCCAGCTCCCCATCTACTAACTCCAACTACTCTGTTTTTAACTGACAGATCCATTCGTTCCCTAGGCTTCCTTAGCTTGTTTATCTCACTCCAATATTTTTTCTTATTTTCATCAAAATTTCTTGACAGTGCCTCTCTCACTCTATCATCTTCTCTCCTTTTGCACTCTCTCATCACTCTCTTCATCTTTCTTTTACTCTCCATATACTCTGGTCTTCTTATAACACTTCTGCTTTGTAAAACCTCTCATAAGCTACCTTTTTCTCTTTTATCACACCCTTTACTTCATCATTCCACCAATCACTTCTCTTTCCTCTGGCACCCACCCTCCTATAGCCACAAACATCTGCCCCACATTCTAATATTGCATTTTTAAAACTATTCCAGCCCTCTTCAACCCTTCCCCCCCCCCCCCCACTACTCATACTTGCACTAGCCCACCTTTCTGCCAATAGTTGCTTATATCTCACCCGAACTTCCTCCTCCTTTAGTTTATACACTTTCACCTCTCTCTTACTTGTTGTTGCCACTTTCATTTTCTCCTATCTACCTCTTACTCTAACTGTAGCTACAACCAAATGATGATCTGATATATCAGTTGCCCCTCTATAAACATGTACATCCTGAAGCCTACCTATCAACCTTTTATCCACCATTTCATTACGTGCTATATCATACCTTGCATACTTATCCTCTTTTTCATAAAATATGTATTACTTATTACCAAACCTCTTTCTACACATAGCTCAATTAGCTCCCCATTTTCATTTACCCCTGGCATCCCAGATTTACCTACCACTCCCTCCACAACATTTTTACCCACTTTAGCATTGAAATCCCCAACCACAGGTACTCACACACTTGGTTCAAAACTCCCCACGCTCTCACTCAAAATTTCCCAAAATCTCTCTCTCTCTCCTCTACACTTCTTTCTTCTCCAGGTGCATAAATGCTTACTATAACCCACTTTTCACATCCAACCCTTATTTTACTCCACATAATCCTTGAATACAGTGGACCCCCGCATAACGATTACCTCCGAATGCGACCAATTATGTAAGTGTATTTATATAAGTGCGTTTGTACGTGTATGTTTGGGGGTCTGAAATGGACTAATCTACTTCACAATATTCCTTATGGGAACAAATTCGGTCAGTACTGGCACCTGAACATACTTCTGGAGTGAAAAAATATCGTTAACCGGGGGTCCACTGTATATACATTTATATTCCCTCTTTTCCTGTCATAACTTATCCTTCAACATTATTGCTACTCCTTCTTTAGCTCTAACTCTATTTGAAACCCCTAACCTCATCCCATTTATTTCTCCCCACTGAAACTCTCCCACCCCCTTCAGCTTTGCTTCACTTAAAGCCAGGACATCCAGCTTCTTCTCATTCATAACATCTACAATCATCTCTTTCTTATCATTGGCACAACAACCACGTACATTCAAACATCCCTCTTTCACAGTTTTCTTCTTTTCTTTTTACTAGGCTCTACAGGAAAAGGGGTTACTAGCCCATTGTTCCTGGCATTTTAGTTGACTTTTACAACACGCATGGCTTACGGATAAAGATTCTTATTCCACTTCTCCATGGATATAAAAGGAAAAACAACAAGAACGAGAACTATTAAGATACAATCAGAGAAAACTCAGATGAGTGTGTATACATAAACGTGTACATGTATGTGTAGTGTAACCTAAGTGTAAGTAGAAGTAGCAAGACGTTCCTGAAATCTTGCACATTTATGAGACGGAAAAAAGGAACCAGCAATCCTACCATCATGTAAAACAATCACAGGCTTTCATTTTACACTCACTTGGCAGGACAGTAGTACCTCCCTGGGTGGTTGCTGTCTACCAGCCTACTACAATTTAATGACTAGTATACATGTATATGCATGTATTCTTTCAGTCAACTTGGTATAAAATTGAGTACTGCAACTCAGATATCTCTCGTATAAAATAGCTAGAATTTTATTTTTGTTTACACTGAGTTTTCAGTCCATTTTACATCTTGTACATCATTTTGCATATTGTACTTATTTTTCTATTTGCTGTATAATAAATAAATAGCCTATGTTATGATTTAATTTCTTACAAGTAAATTTTTTTAGGCTGGTTGTGTCCTGGACCATTGTTTCCTAGGTGACAATGTTACACTGGAGGAGAACGTGAGGTTGGCGCCAGGTTGCATAGTGGGACCCGGTGTGATCCTAGGTCCAGACATAACAGTGGCAGCAGCAACTCGCTTGGTGGCCATACCTCCTGAAGACGAATTTGACCAACATCATGTTAGTCTAGGTGAGGAGACTAATGTACGGACGAACCTCCAGATTCACAGTGGTTATAAGAATAGAAAGGATGAACACTGCAGCAGGCCTACTGGCCTACACAAGGCAGGTCCTTCTCAATCCCAAAACCATTAACAAAAATATTTTCCCAACCCATTTTCAGTGTTACCCAAGGAATAAGCATTGATAACCCTGTTGAAGGTCCCATGAATGTAGAGTCTGTGACTAATACAATATAACAGTTTGTCTGCATAATGAATTTTGTTTCAGGTTTGAACTTATTTTGCATTTTGGAGTCTCTTTAGCCCTTAAACTGTCCAAACGTAGATCTACGTTCACATGTGTAGCACTCCGAACGTAGATCTACGGTCACATGTGTAGCGCTCCGAACGTAGATCTGCGTTCACATGTGTAGCGCTCCGAACGTAGATCTACGTTTTTTTACATTTGAAAGCATGTAAAATAAAACTTAGATCTACGTTCGAAGAGCTACGCACTTGGACAGTTTAAGGGTTAAATATTATTGTGATATACTTAATATTTACATTCACACTCATCCAGTAAGCTGGACTGAGGTAGGAAGTACAGCACCTGTGCTCTAAAGGAGGGGTTTGGGATATTTGCTGTTTAGAGTGTCATATCTGCTCTCCTCTGGCAAGACAGTAATAGTGTAAATGATGGTGAAAGAGTTTCATTTTGGGTCACCCTGCCTCAGTGGGAGACGGCCAACGCATTTCAAAAAATTTAAACATCAGAAAACGATGAGAATTTAGGGATTGCAGTGTGGGGGACAGCCATTAAGCACAATTCTGTAGTTACATTTTTATTAAGGAGTCTTGTGCCAAATCCTCAAAAAATAGATACCACTGAAAACATCTCCTATAATCCAACTTATCAACAGGTTGGCTATTATTAAGAATGCTAAATAAACATATTCTACAAATTAGGAATACTTGAAATTTGGGGCCCAATTATGCAGAAAAACTACTAAATTTGTTGCCCTCCTGATTTTTTAATTTTGTCCACTGGAATCAACTATATTACTAAAGGGTGTCTTTTACTGTTGTTGAGGTCCTTGAGTCTGTTCTAACCTTCTTGTATAACTCAAAACCCTGATATAAAGTTTGACTTCAGGCCTCTGAAGTCTGTCTGCATGTTGTAAAGTTGTTCATTCAAGGCTGACAGGTACTGAGACCAGCAGCTAGGGTTCACCTCGACACTGCACAAACACCCACTAAAAGAGAGTTTAGCCTGGAGATTATCACGTGGTTATGAAACTATGGATTAGAGATGACACAAGAACAAAATCAATTTATTTTTTATAATAATCATGCAAGTTAACCTTATGCTATTACAGCTATCTTAGTGCTCAGTTAATAACACCAGAGGATGTAAGATTCCATACTGGGCATTAAATATAAGATCCTCAGTGGAAATAAGTCACTCTGTGTGACTTTCTTGGGTTATCCTAGGTTCTTTACACATATGCTGCTGTGTATGATAATCTGTATAACTGTATCTGTGCATACCTGAATAAACTTATTTAATCTCATTCTGGGCATTAAGCTGAAGATAAATAGGCATAGGAATGACCAAGATAGCTGCAGCTCTGCACTTCAGACAGGCAATTCTGTACCAAAACACATCTACCACATGATGTTTAAAGTTTCCCAGTAGGTATAACAACCCCAAAAAACAACTGACACCTGACTCATGGAGTTGGCGCAGCTAGCACCACCTGTCAATGCACCCTAGTAATGCCATAGTCTAACCCCTAAGCAGTCTTGCCAAAAAACATGTTACACACATGCAGTATAATGTGATCCTTTACTGACAATGTTACGCCCACACAGTAGACTTTATCAAGTCACAAACAGATCTACCTGGGTGGAAGGTACGTGAGTATTAATAGGATGAAGTCAGGTTGAGATCGCTGGGTCAGGTGGAAAAAGCTGCATGTGACGGTCTACCGAGTAGGGTTACAGAGTCTAATACCTTGGGTAGCTTGGAAGAGAGATTGGATAAGTATATGAATAGACCTTCTGCAGTGTTCCTCCATTCTTATGTTCTTATGTGGGATAGCGATGAAGAAGTTTCTTGGCGAGTGGTTCAGCTATGTTATAGAAGCCATTGTTCTGGTTGAAGTTGTTGGATATAGAGATAAGTGATGATTCCAGGATTCTTCTTTATTGAGTGTTGGTTGAAGGGCAACCGAGAGATACTTGACCTTGTTATACAAGTCGCAGAATTGAAATGAGCAAGCGGCCTCTGTCGCTCGGTTAAATTTGCTTAACCCTTTTAGGGTTGGTGCCGTACTAGTACGGCTTGCGCACCAGGGTTGGTGCCATACTAGTGCGGCTTGCATGCCAGGGTTGGTGCCGTACTAGTACGGCTTGCGTGCCAGGGTTGGTGCCGTACTAGTATGGCTTGCATGCCAGGGTTGGTGCCGTACTAGTACAGCACCAACCCTGAAAGGGTTAAGCAAATTTAACCAAGCAACAGAGGCTGCATGCTCATTTCAATTCTGTGACTGGTATAACAAGGTCAAATATCTCTCAGTTGCCCTTCAACCAACACTCAATAAAGAAGTGGGAAACAGCTGGTAGGCCTAGATGTGAGAGAATGGGTCTGTGTGGTCAGTGTGCGGGGTAGAAAAAAAATCTGGGACCCAGTGGCGCATTGTGGGAATGCCATTTTAGTAGACCTTGTTCACCATGCCTCGCAGTAAGAAACTCCTCACTCCTCAGCGAATTGGGACACTTTTGTTCCCCAGTGACAGTTCTAATACAGATGGAAGTGCTAGTGAAGATGAGTTTCAAGGTTTTGATGAGGTTGTGACCGAAACTAATGACCACAATACCGGTAATAGTAAGGAAAACCCAGACAACCCACAGCCTTCCACCTCTGGTGCTGGGCCGTCTTGTTCACATTCAGTTGTACCAGAATCAAAGAGGAAACTCCTAGTTTCCCATATCCCGGACTCAGATGTGAGCATTGGTGATGATAGTGATAGTGAATATGAACTACAAGCTCTTGAAAACATTTCCAGTAGTGATAGTGAAGTGGAATATTCTCCAGTGAAGCGTCAGTATATATGACGGTATATGCGCTCTGGTAGTGTGCCATATGCTATTCCAAGAGGAAGAAGTACATCTCGGAGTACATCCCATGGCAGTACAACAGGAACAGATAGTGAAAATGAAGATGATAGTGTTGCAGTTGGGATGGAAAATGTGCATGGTGGTATAAGTGGTGGTGCCGGCCGTGAGGCACCAGCAGTGGGCCTTGCTGCCACCCACGCTGCCACCCATGCTGCCACCCACGCTGCCACCCATGCTGCCACCCACGCCGCTGCCTCAGCTGATCTACAAGAAAGGCCATCATCCCCCACCCACCCACCCACCACACCAGCCTCCACAACCACCTGTCAGTATCCAGTACTCACCAGCAGACCGCACCTGGGATTGGCAGGAAGCTGCCAATTTTGTTCCAAATCCCCATCAGTTTGATGAAAGCCAAAGTGGAATACAGCCATCTTGTACACTTGGGAACAATGCCACTGAACTGGAATGTTTTGAGTTATTCTTTGACGAACCCCTGATGGAAATTACTGTCAGGGAAAGCAACAGATACTACAAGTACACCATGGCAAACACGATACTTTCACCAAACTCACACCTACACCAGTGGAAGGAGGCAACTGTGGCTGAGATGTATCTTTTCTTTGCCACAATAATGCTTATGCCACATGTGTATAAGCACAGTGTGAAATCATACTGGTCAACAGACTGCCTAATTGCAACCCCAGGTTTCAATGATATATTTATTATTTTTTTTTTTATTATCACACTGGCCGATTCCCACCAAGGCAGGGTGGCCCGAAAAAGAAAAACTTTCACCATCATTCACTCCATCACTGTCTTGCCAGAAGGGTGCTTTACACTACAGTTTTTAAACTGCAACATTAACACCCCTCCTTCAGAGTGCAGGCACTGTACTTCCCATCTCCAGGACTCAAGTCCGGCCTGCCGGTTTCCCTGAACCCCTTCATAAATGTTACTTTGCTCACACACCAACAGCACGTCAAGTATTAAAAACCATTTGTCTCCATTCACTCCTATCAAACACACTCACGCATGCCTGCTGGAAGTCCAAGCCCCTCGCACACAAAACCTCCTTTACCCCCTCCCTCCAACCTTTCCTAGGCCGACCCCTATCCCGCCTTCCTTCCACTACAGACTGATACACTCTTGAAGTCATTCTGTTTCGCTCCATTCTCTCTACATGTCCGAACCACCTCAACAACCCTTCCTCAGCCCTCTGGACAACAGTTTTGGTAATCCCGCATCTCCTCCTAACTTCCAAACTACGAATTCTGTGCATTATATTCACACCACACATTGCCCTCAGACATGACATCTCCACTGCCTCCAGCCTTCTCCTCGCTGCAACATTCATCACCCATGCTTCACACCCATGTAAGAGCGTTGGTAAAACTATACTCTCATACATTCCCCTCTTTGCCTCCAGGGACAAAGTTCTTTGTCTCCACAGACTCCTAAGGGCACCACTCACCCTTTTCCCCTCATCAATTCTATGATTCACCTCATCTTTCATAGACCCATCCGCTGACACGTCCACTCCCAAATATCTGAATACATTCACCTCCTCCATACTCTCTCCCTACAATCTGATATCCAATCTTTCATCACCTAATATTTTTGTTATCCTCATAACCTTACTCTTTCCTGTATTCACTTTTAATTTTCTTCTTTTGCATACCCTACCAAATTCATCCACCAATCTCTGCAACTTCTCTTCAGAATCTCCCAAGAGCACAGTGTCATCAGCAAAGAGCAACTGTGACAACTCCCACTTTATGTGTGATTCTTTATCTTATAACTCCACGCCTCTTGCCAAGACCCTCGCATTTACTTCTCTTACAACCCATCTATAAATATATTAAACAACCACGGTGACATCACACATCCTTGTCTACGGCCTACTTTT